AGAGAGTTCATGTAGAATGGTTGCTGTTTGCAGTTCACATGGCTGGCTCTGTCTGGTCTTAGCTTGTTCCTGTGCCCCCAATGAATGCGGGAAAGCTTCGGGCTCTTTATTGTGCGGAGGCACCTGTTTCACAGTCCGAGGGGCTGGCAGCTTGGTGGTAGATTGTGTAGCTGTTTGGGGCTGAGAACACCTGATTGAAGGATCAAAGTAACCTGGCATAACATTTCCCAAGCTTGGTACATCATTGCTGTTAGATGGAAGTGAGCTCAATCTTTTTCTGCATAATGGGCGCATCATATGATCTTTAAACACCCTTGTAACATAAATTTGAAACCTTTGGAGATGCTCCCGCCTATTCAGAAGTTGAAGATAGAGTTCTCTCTGATTCAATGTTACAACCACCCTCCTATAAAACTGGTTGCTTGGGAGCCAGAAGCATTGTTTCAAATTCACCCTTGCAGAATCTCTTGGCAATAGCTGATTAAGTGAGCTTTCAACTACTCTCTTATTACCCCAACGGCCAAAGTTGATTCTTGAGTGTCCTATGTTAAAAGTCAGTTGATTTTTTTGCAATACACAGCAACTCTTGCCATGGGGGGAGAGAGGTTGGGAGTCTTCTGATTCCTTAGTGTCTATGTTGCTTGTGGGATTCGCCAAGGTTAAATTTGTTAACTTAGAATGGGTGCACAGCATCTTCATATCTTGTTCCTTTTGTAGTTGTGAAGAGAGAGATTCAACAACCTCCTTAAGCTTATTTACCTTAAGATTTATCTCATCTATTTTCATATATAAATTAACCAGCGTTTCAGTAATAAGGGAGGTTTGCTTGAAGAGAATATTATCTTTACTTGCCTTTGCCGGGAGCTCATTTGTGCTCAGCTGTTCCTCAGAAGCCGCAGGTGAAGTCTGCCGCTCTGCAGTGCTGTCCTGGACAGAAGTAGGAGTAGTCTGTATCAGGGGAGCATATCTGTTAGTAGACAGCCGCTGGTCTGAATCCTTGTCTAAAATAGTCTCAACATCCTGATTTAAGGTAAACTCTTCCTCCTTGTCCTCCAGGAAATTTTCCATTCTCATTTGCTTGCCGGCCTTGTGTGCTGAGTATTCCGGGGAGGGTCGGCGTCTTCGTTTCTTCGCTCCCATTATAAAGCTTCCTAATGTGAATAGTTTTTCAAAGCTGCCTCCCACGGGAGCTCAGGGTGAAAGTGCCAATTTGTAGCTATAATTTAAAGATAAAAGCTGTTTAAAAAGTCAATAAAGTCAATAAAATAAGATAAGCAGGGAGCCTTATGGAACGCGTCTTACTCCTCTGCCGCCATCTTGAAGCTGGTCTGCAAAATATACTGCCGTCTCTGAAGGCAGTTAAAGCTGTATTCAGGAAGGACCAATCCATTCTGTCAAATGCCTTCTCCACTTAACAAAGAAGAACATTATAGGCATATTTCTTACTTTGGCAGAATTAATTAAATCAACCAACCTCCTGATGTTCCAAGACATTAACTGACCCTTCAAAAAGTCTGTTTGAGCCAATCCAATATAATCCTCCAGTACTCTGTTTAATCTGTTTGCCAGAATAAATGAAAGGATTTAATAGTCAATGTTGAGTAGTGAAATGGGTCTATAGGATACAACCTCATGAGGATCTTTCCCTTCCTTTAAGATGAAGGCTATATTTGCATCCACCCATTCTTTAGAGACCTCACATTTTCTGTATATAAGCAAATAATTTATATAAACGTGATACCAACTCTGTAGCAAAACATTTGTAGAATTCATTACTAAGTCCATCTGGGCCTGGCAACTTACCTGATTTCAGTTTTTTAATTGCCTTTATAATATTTGAGCTAGTTATTGGGCCATCTAACAATTTCTTATGTTCCAATGTGAGCTTAGGAACTGAAAGACTGTCTATAAATTTCTTGATGTCTTCTTTATTTGGGCTATCTGCTTTATACAGATTAGCCATAGAAGCATTGGAATTCACTAAGCATTTGCTTCAGTTTGGGTTTGAATTTCCAATGGTGTTCTAACTCTGAAAGATCTATGTCATCTTCTTTTATCTTCCAGCAATCTCGCTAAGATTTTACCTGGCTTATTACCATATTCAAATATAGTTTGTTTTGCATATAATACTGACTTAGCTACTTTCAAAGCATCAAAAAGCTTCTGCTTGTCTTTTTTACCTTCACATTAAAATTCTAACAGCATGGGAGAGTGGTCAGCCAGTGACATTACTTCTGTTGAAATTTCAGTTTCTTATAGTTATATTTACATCTAAAAAATATAATCAATACAGGAATGAGAGTTGTGCCTATAGGAAAAATGTGTATAATCTTTTTTCATGGGATATTTATACCTGAAAGCATCCATTAAGGATGTATATCAACCAGTTTTTGAAATAATCATGGACTTTATTATGTAGCCGATTAGGCAAAGAGGTGTGTCAGAAGGCCTCCATTACTTCATTCAAATCTCCAACAAGTAACAGTTCACCTTCTGCTCAATTTGTCAAGGTAGAGATCACTGGGGGGGGGTGGTATTTTGCTTTTGACCAGGCACATAAACACAGGCCCAAGTAAATCTTCACTCTTCTATTGACCCTTTTATATAAACAAAAATCATCCCTCCTCATACTTTTTAAAAGCAACTAATTCCATCCCTAAAATCTTTTAAAGACTATGATAACACTCTTTTTCTTATTAATTACAGGTGCATGGTAGATATCCCCAGTGTATATCTTCTCTAAGTATTTTTCATTATTAAGGTCTAAGTGCATTTCTTGTATGCATACATTGCTCATATATTTTTTAAATAAGATTGCTTTTCTAGTTGTTCTTTTTAATAGACTACATATCACAGGTTGTATTGAAACTTTTAAATGCTGCAATTCCCCTGAGTTGATGCTGTTGCTTTTTTGGTTGATGGATACAGATTTTCATTTACTTTATTGGGAGCCACGACTGCCTTTTAAGATGAAACATTGGCTGTATAGGGGTGTGCATTCGGCTAAACTAAGCCAAAAAACCCACTCCCAAAATACCATATTTTTTGGATATTTTTTCAGCTGGTTAGCAGGTGGGCCATTTACTCAGCTGTCCAAAAATGGCTGACCTGAAAAATACCGAAAACATTTGGGGGGTTTTTGGGACTGCCAGATAGCTGCATTTAAAGGGACCATGATTCCTTTCAAAGGCTTCTTTCTCCTCCTCCATCAGAAACAATGGAGGATGGGGGCTGGAGAAGCAAGTACTCTGCTCGGCACAGGAGCTTCTTGGACTCGTTACTCCAGCATCTTGGTTTAAACCAGACTGCAGGAGAAAGCAAGCCCAGCCAGGATCTCCTATGCTGCATGGAGCAATGTTCTCCATGCAGCACTGCAGCTCCTGTGGCTTGCTTCTCCTGCAGCATGGTTGAAACTGGACTGCAGGAGAAAACAAGCCCAGGATCTTCTATGCCACCAGGAGCAATGTGCTCCACGTGGCACAGCAGCTCCTGGGGCTCCCTTTTCCCGCAGCCTGATTTAAACTGGACGGTAGGATCTCCTGTGCTGCACAGAGCAATGTGCTCAAATCCCAGTACTATACCTGTATTGGGGTTCAGGAGTATCGGGAAATACTGATATTTTTCAGGTTCAGTATATTGGAACCCGAAAAAATACCATGGGGGGGGGGGGTTGCACACCCAGTGGCGTACACCTTGCTTTTTTCAAATGCAAATGTCGAAAAAAATGTTTCCCTGGTCAACTCCCACATTACCTCATAAAACTACAAGCATTTGACCGCATGGGATTGTCTTTCCTATGCCAGAGAGGTGGCATTGCAGTTGTGAAAAAGGACAACATGATATGTACCTGAATGGGGGGGACCTAAGGCTGCTTACAATGAAACACACACAGTAAAAGCATCCATAGCAAACACAAAGCTGCAAAAAAATGCCATTTACACACACCCCTTGAATAATTCTGCTGTTAGGGGGTGCATTCCTCACTTCCTCAGGAAGACCATTCCATAGTAGGGGCACAAGCACAGTATAGGTCCATCTGGGCCTGGACAAAAGAAGTTGTTGCCTTTCTATGTGATGGAATAGATAGAAGAGACAGATGGGTTACCAGGGAGATACAAGGAAGCCGACCTTGGCAAAGGAGGGTTTTCAGAGGCTGCCCTGAAATTAATCGTGCCTGTATTTTTGTATCATTTTTGGTGCCAAGTTAGTATGCAAAGCCATGCATGATACTTGTTTTCAAGTTGCCAGCTTTGGTACAGACGCCCATATAAAGTCTTCTCCAGTTCTGGGATCTATTGTAGAATAAAAAAATCTTCTCCTCCAAAAAAAACAAAAACACCCTCACTTTTTCCAGTTCCTTCCATCCATGCCATTTTAACCTTTGTTAGCCTCCACTGTACAGCCTGTTGCCTGCTGCTTCTTTTACCAGCCCCTCACTGAACAAATGAAAGAAGCGTATCTCTTTAGCATGCAAAAACAAACTTTTTCATATGACACTTAAAAAAAAAATACAACTTCTGTGAGGTAAAAATTTGCCATACTCCCACTGAGGTGTCCCTAATAGTACTATGAGAGGCTCCTCAGAAGCTTACCGGAGTGGGGGTGGTTACAGGGTTTTTTTAAATCTGATTTCAAACCCCAGGCAGAAATACAAGACTTCTAACTTCAATAAAAGATCTTCCAGAATAGCTAAATCTTCAGGGTTGTTTTTTTTTCTGAAGGCCAAAAAAGATGTATCAAAATATATCTTCCATTGGAAGGGAGTTCTGCATTCTGGGGGGAGGGGGAGCTGAGAGAGCTGCCTTATTGTACATGTGGTTTGGCATTTATTCTCTCTTCCGTTTTACTGTTGTTCTTTTTGGCCTGGCATATTCTAATTCTCTGTTTCTGACATAATACCAGGGTGGTGAGTGTTCCTTCTCATGCTCCTCCCTACCTTTTTGACAGCTGTCAGTGTTAACTTAAATTGTCTTCTTTCCTTCCCCTTCTGATTTTTACAGGCTGTTTCTTTAGAGCTGCCAGTACTGGTGTCCTACAAACACAAGGAGAATGGCTACACCTATTAAGTGAAGTCCAGAGAAACACCATGACTCCTTTTGCAGAATGATGCCCTCTCAGGATTCTTCGGATGCAAAGATTATAACCCCAGCACGTGGGCTTAAATCAGCAATGCTCTTTCTTTCTCTCTTTCTGTGCTACAAACTGAGTATCAGAAGCAATCAAAAAGGAAGCCAAGAGAGTTATTCCTTTTTTGTGGGTTTGTTTTTTAAACAAAGACTTTTTTTGCTTTGCATTTTTAAAATAATGGGGAAAGGTGGGGAAAGGTGTTTTTCCCTAATTTCCCTTCTTTAATCCCCTTCTCTAAGAAACTAACTTTGCTATTCTGCTAAATAAAATGTTGGAGAAAGCTACGGAGGTTTTGGTACTTGGAAGACTTGTGGCGTATTCTGCTGTGATTCAGATTCATCCAGGAAAGGCGAAGTGCTGCTAAAGGTTTCTTTCTTTTGTTCCCCCTCCCCCGACCAAAGAAATAGCACAACTTTATCTTCCGAGAGCTGTGTTCCAATTTTCCATGGACAGCGCTAGCAAAATCTTATGTGTCGTTCTGTGGCTTGGCCATAAATTTGAATCATGTCGATGTACTTCTGTTGTTGTTGTTCAGCCAACCACTACCATCTCACCTTTAAGGAATAGGGTATTTTAAAAAAAAAAGTTAATTTTTTGCCCCATCAAGAATACTTGAGGGGAAAAAATTGAAAGACTTGTGCTTTCCTGTGGTATCCATGTTCATTTCAAACACTAAGGTTAATGTAGCTGAATGTTCTCTGTTGAGCTTGGGTTGAAGAATTCAAAAGCAACCTGTTGTCCAATACTTGCACATGCAACAGGTTTTCTTTCCATGGTCTGTTCCTCTCTATTCCCCTCTCAAGTGTATTTTGCAGTTCAAATCAGCATGTCTCTTTTCTTAAAAAATGTAACACTCTTTACTGACTATAAGAAAATATTTACACCACATTGTCAGACTTCTCTCAACCTGAGCTCTTAAGGATTACGTACCATTTTTAGGATGCAATTTTCCAGATGTGCAGGTGCCAGATACTTAGAATATTAACTGTTCACAAAGGTTCAGATGTTTACTGATGGAGAGAGATCTAACTGGGGGGGAGGAATCTTTTTGGTGCACTCTTTCTCTTCACATTCAAGGCCCACAGGCCATTGTTTGGGATAGACCCACCACTGCAAGTTGTAAAAATTGCCTTCTTTGGAGGAGCAAGCCCTGAAATGCCTGCACTGTTACCCTTTCTAGTGAGAGAGCCACATTCATCGTTAGCTGTCTTCCTCCAAAGTGTAGTGCATCTGATGGCCAGTTCACACACCTGTGTGTTAAGGTATACCTTAAAAAGCTCTTACATGTGCACTTACAGATATTGTTAGCATGTGCAACCAATGCATGTTTTCAACTGTGTATCTGATGGGTACACAAGCACGTGTGCCCGTTATTTGCCACCATGTAATATGTGTAGTAGTGCTATAACACACACAGTAGCACTGCTGGCTTCCCTCCCCCCCTTTCTTTCTTTCTTTTTTTTCTGAATTTTGCCCCAGCAGTCTACATGCAGGAAGTAGTGTGTGAATTTAGAAGTAGATTTGTGCCAGTTGCTATGAATTCCATGACTGAGACAGCTCCAGAAATGGCCACTGAGATTTGAGAGGGCTCAACTGAATCTGCTTCTGATCCAAGCACTAGTCCTATGCAAAAGTGGGCAACGCTGAGGACATGCTCAGGTAGGCAGTCCCATGGGGGCAGGGGCAGTGCATGCATGAACAAACGCAAAGACATTTGTAGCTAGAAATAACATGTCTAGGTCAGTCCAGCTTACGACTAAAGTCCCAGAGTTCACTGAGGCATGGATGGAAAGATCCCCCCCCCCCCGTGTAATACTTGTAGTTTAAACTCTTTTTGCTGTTTTCTGTTCTTCAAATGGGACCAGTTGATCATTGTCTCATTTCCACCTTGTCTATCTGCACAGTGAGACTATAGCTAGACATTAACAGGCTTGTGTGGCTGCCACCAATCCATATTTTCAATCTTCTTCCCAGTAGTGTTTGATATGAGAAATGCATGATGTGGTATCATTATGGAGCATCTGTTTCCCCTTCCCTCCTGCCCTTGTACATGGCAGCCAGTCAGTTGACATAGAATGCGGTCACATTACACCACAGATTTCCCTCCCTAGACATTACTGGGAGAGGATGAGAGAGCGGTTTCTCCTCTGACACCCCCCCCCCACTTCTGCTTTCAGCCATGACAAACAGGGTCACTATGACAGGCTAGGTGCCAAATCATATCTGGTAGAGACCCCTTCACCCTGTCCCCAAAACCTTTAAATACACAGGTCCATCTTGGTGTCTGTGTTTATGCGTTGTTAATTTCTGGGGCTCTTTTTTAAACTTTGAATTGCATATGACCTGAAACTCACTGTGCATTTTTCACAAGCTAGGCAAGTACCCTTTTCTAGTCGCCTCAACTCACCTGTGAACCTAATGCATTTTTTTTAAAGAATGCACCAGTTTAGGACCAAATTCTCTGATTCCAAACTCCAAGTAGTTACTGGGGGGGGGGACGGGGGGGGATGGACTTCATCTTCTGAAATATATTATAAACCTAGCAGTTGGAAGTTCTCAAAAGGGGATGGGACTAGAGGCATCTTGGGCACAACAACTGGTTTCTTTTGCTTTCTCACACCGTGACTGGGCCAGGTGATCATTAGTAGTGTCTCTGAACTTCTGCTGTTTCACTGGAGCCCAGGAGTTTTATTTTTGTTTTTATGGCTAAGGTTTATTTAAAATGTCAACCAAAACAACAGCAAATCCAGCAATGAGATGATCCATTTTGGTCCCCAGAAGGCTGTGAAGAGTTAATCCCACTGAGAGGATTTTGCAGGTTTGGCATGTACCAATAGCACATCATGTGGTAAAACTTTTTTAGATTGCACGTTGGAGAACCATGTCTGAGTCCTCCCTCACTAAACATGGAAAACTAAAGTGACAAAAGATATTAAAAGTGCAGTTTTGTATTGCCCGTGAGCTGCTAGTTTTTTTGATGGCAGGGAGTTTCTTGCAGGGAAGGGAAAGCGTATTCAGTTGGAAGTGGTAGGATCCAAGAGAACTTTTACCACATGACCTGATGTTTTTCTGGACTGGGCCATAACCATGACCAACTTTGCTGCATTTCATTTTGTATCCTCAAGCCATGAGTTTGCTTATGAACTCTGTCCCTTCCCCAAAGCGCTGCAGCCATTACTGGAGGATATACCCAGTCCACAATCTAGAATCGTCAACATTTTAAAGTCATTTGTGCATATGGGCCATGCCAGTCCAAGTAGTCTTAACTCATGTCAATATTGTAAAACCTGTAATGGAACTTTTTTTAAAAAAACAAAAGTTGTAGATATGGAGTGGAGGAGGCGGATGTACATTCTATACAGATTTTAAGATGCATTTTTTCAGCTGCTTGCAAACACTGAAGGGACTGCAATCTTAATTTTTATCTCTCTGGCAATTTTATACACTTAACGTATAATGACAGTGGAATGTGAATGTTAAACTTTTATGAATGCAATTTGCCTTTTTTCATTACAAAAAAATGCAAACTTTTGTTTGAAATAATCAATAAACTTTGGTATGTTCTGATTAATAATATTGCCTGATCGGATTTAATGGGTGCTTTCTTCCTTGTGTCCTTTGTGCAGCCATATCTATGTGATTGCCTGGTAAAATTCACTTCCACAGAAAAATGCTTTACAAAAGCTTCCTCTTCTCCTTTGTAGTGTATAGGCAAACAGGCTCGTGACATGTATGCATGTGGACTAGTAACTTTGCAGGCACATTTGCAAGGTTCCAAACACCTTGCATGATTGCTGCTTTCATACATTAGAGGCCCCACTGCACAAAAGCATGTTCAGTGTTAATCGTGATAATCTGATGTGTTGAAATGAGGTTGGGGCTCGTCTATTGCAAGGCCCTAGAGATGTGGAAGAGGGGGCACCTACCTCTGTACCATCATTTCACGAGGGATGCAATGGTTTCCCTTGGCAACAGCCATGAGCAAAATCCTTCCCCCTCCTCTGAGAACAAAACCTGAACATTTTCTTGCAAAAGAATGAGGATGTGGCTTGCTTGTCAGATTTGTGATTCTGCGTTGAAATTAAAGATAATTATACAACCCACACAGAACCTGAAAGAAATAAACTAAGTGCCTTTTCATATGCCTTGACGGGAAATGATAATGACTGGGGAGCTTGAATAGTAAAACTGCCATATGCAGTGATGTTTCCTCCTTGGCGCTGCACAAAAAGGACAGCTGTAACTGTGGAAAAAATAAGTGTTGTGTGGCTCTTATGTAGCTCTCATTGCATTTATTTCAGCTGGAGTCCTTTCCTATCCCCAGGGCTCAGAGCAGGAGAGGTTTTCATACCAACATGTGAAGAGTCATTTGAAAAATCAAAGACTAACACATTGCACAAAAGCTAGATTAAAAGCTTCTAATATACATTTTATGCATGATAAGAGGCTTGCATTGCAAAGTTATCTTTAAGAGTGTCTGCACATGACATTGTAGCAGCTGGTTCACAAGTGTATATGCATCACTTGATTTTCTCATACAGGGTGACACTGCATTTGAAGGCAAACGTGAGAGCTGAGCAGAGCTTCCTGAAAAGCACTGTGTGTGTTTATCACATGGCAATTCCTTCTGCTACATTCACAGCCCATTCAGACACATACAAAATGTCTTTTAAATACTGTAATCCTTTAATTAAACTAGGCCTGGGGCTTCCTGATTAAGTACATACCATGTTAGTTGGGGGGGGGGAGCGGATATGTAAATAATAGTATTTGCCTTCAGCTTTCATGCAAATAACCAGGAAAGGACTGGACCTCTGCAATGATGTATTTTTAAAGAGGCAAATAGCATTTGTGTTCGCATTTCCCATAGTGTGCGTGCACATTTTGAACTTGGGGGCAGATGCCAAGGTAAAACAAAATATGTCCCAGTGAGACGAGACAATAGGATGATCCTTGTTTAAGAAAATTATGGATGTCTTGTGTCATTTGAACAGTGACTTTTTCTGGGCTGGTGGTGTGCAGACCAGACAGCCACTGAAAGAAACTGGAGGTTTTCTCTTGATTTAAATGTTGATAGTGTTTGGCCCCTCAGTTATAAAAACGTTGCAGACCCATGAGCTAAACAGTTTGGGGTGAAAATCCTTTATCCTACTTTGTGAACAATTAAAAAAAACCACCACTAAACATTCAGCTTTTTACCACTATGAGTAGCATAACATTTAATAAGCTATATTCATTAAAGAAAACCTGGCTGCAGCCAATCCCCCCCTCGCTTAATCAGACACCCCCCCCCATTTCTTTGAAGCTAGCGCGTTCAGATCCGCCCGAAGCCAGTCTGTTATATAGCGAGCCAATGGAACTCACTGCCACAAGGTGGTCAAACGGAAATTGCGGTGAGCTCCACGATCGATACCTCTCAGCATCCGAAACAAGACGAAGCGCTGCTGCTTTCATGCCTTGCTTACGGGTTTCGCAGCGAAGACCTTCGCCGCCTGGCGGCTGGGCTAAATGAACCACAAGTCCGATCCGGCAAGGCTCGTCTGAGGAAGGTCTGGCCGTTTGATTCCAGTCTCTTCAGTGATGGGCAGAAGCCCGGGGGGGGGGCCGGGGAAGAGGGCACCTCAGCTGGGCGCTTGGGGGAAGCACTGAGCTGCGGCTCCCCAAGATGCCCGGCTCAGCCGGCACCGCCTGCGCTCCGCCCCGCCCGCGCGTCCTCCCCTCCGAGCCGGTCCTGGTGCCTTCCCTTCGAGTGGCGAAGAGCGCAGGCGGGTCTCTGGGCAGGCGAGTTCCAGCCCGGGTCACCACCCATCTATAGGGGGTGGTGCCCGGGTCAGGGGCCTGCAGAGAATGCATCAGATGATCCTGTAAATTCACCTGTCACGGCAGGGCCTGGGGGCGTGATGCAAGCAAGCGAAGTCCAAGAGCAGTCCGAAGTCAAGCCGAGTAAGACAAGCAGCAAAGTTCAAACGGGTTTAAATCAGAATTCAGAGCCAGGGTCAGCCATACCATAGTTCAATGTCCATAAATCCAAACGATGCCAGAGGAGTCAAAAGGGGGGGAGGGGGGGGGCCGGGGGGGGGGGTTGCCGTTTCCTTCTCTCTTTGCGCCCCGCTGCTCTCTCCGTGGCGGCAAAGTTGCACGGGGAGGACTAGGCTGGAGACTGAGGGGAAGCGGGGCCAGGAGGAGGTCGAGTGCTGGGGACTGCCTCGCATCTCCACACCGCCCCCTTTCCGAGATCGGAGGGCATCTTTCGAGCGGTTGTTGGTTGTGCGCGCGCGCGCGCGTGTGTTTAAAGGCGACAAGACAGCAATAGTCTCGGTGGCTATTTAAAAGTTGCCAACTGACCGGGAACGGAAAACAGGTCTGCTCTTGTGCTTTAAAGAAAGGGGAAGGGGCTGTTGCTGCAGTTGTGACTTAACGGACGTCGGTACATTGAACTGCTGGTGGAGGCACAGGAGTAGGGGTCGGTTAAGAAGTTGACAACCTTCTGAAAAGTGCATAAGGTTCATCTGAGAGATTGGGGGGGGGGGGTTCTGTTCAAAATAAAGGCCCCGGAAAAGGACTCCGTTCTGTGGAACTGTTGTTATGAAATGACATAATACGAGGGTAGAAGAGTAATTTTGGGAGCCTGAGTTCCAAGGGACTTACTCCCAGGTCCTGTACCGCTTATTTGGGATTAAGAGCTGCTTCGCTTGGATTTACTTCATGAAGAGGATTGGGCTACATGGTTCTGTTTTGCAGCTGGCTCATCCATGGGTGTACAGGTTTCCTTTAGATGTAGGTTGAATCAAACAGTACAGAGGTGTTCCCACGCAGGTGGGGGTGTGAGGGCACACCTGCTTGCCTCTCCTTCCCAGTGGTGTACCTGCCCTGTCTCCTGACATACCTGAGAAGGCTTTGTGTTTGAGTCAGGCACACACATGTACAGATTATGCAATTGATTTTGCAAATACAGTTTGGGGATCAGCCGCACGATCTGTATGTGCATGCTCTTGATTGTAACATTAAGCCCCTGTGCTGATGTTTGGGGGCTGGCAGGTCCACCAGGTGGATCCCCTTGGCTCAGTTGTCAACCATCTGCTTGGCATACAGAAGATCCCTGGTTTGATCCCCAGCATCTCCAGTTAAAAGGATCAAAAAGTGGGTAATGAGAAGAAACATCTTCCAGAAACCCTGGAGAGCTGCTGCTAGTCAGATAATTCTGACTTGCATCTGGCTCAATTTAAGGCAGTTTTACGTATAGTCACAGGTGGGAGGAATGGGCCATGCATAGCGGGGTGCGTGGGTCACCTTTGTGTCATTTGTGTCCAGCTGCATCACTTGGTGCTGTTTGAAAAGTGAAATGGTGTCAGGTTCTGCAATGTTCCGTCTCAACTCCCTCTCCACGCATGCAAATCATTGTTTGATGGTATAGGCTTAAAGTGCAATTATAAATAGAGTTGCACCCTTCCAGTACAATCCTAAACAGAGCTGCACCCTTCTAAGCCGGTTGATTTCAATGGAATTAGAAGGCTGTACTTCTGATTAGAATTGCGCCGTTGGTCATTCTTCCTCCTCCCTCCTTAGCTGCCTGTGAACTCTGATTAAGTATAGCTGTTTTGCAACTATCAGTCTTATTTGCCTACATTAAGTGAAATAAGACAATGATCACAGGGCCTTTGGGAATGAAACATCTCTCCCTGTTTGTAGCAATTATGATGGTGGTAACAGGTTGAGGCAGTGGATTAGGGCTTCTGAATGAGGGGGGGGGGGGTTACAAGCAGATGTTGCAAGCAGATGTTGAAGAAGAGCTTGTAGGTTGCTAAAGCTGATGGGTGCTGGCAGGTGGGGGTGGAGAGGTTCTAGGAGGGAGGGAGGATGCTGTGGTTGGACTTGGGGAATGTCGAAGGGATGAATATGAGCAAGGAGTGACAGTCTGCTTTCCCCCCCCCCTTTTCAGGCAATTGAAACATCAGTTTTTAAAACATGCATTTGATTCAGGACAACACAAGTGCTGTAATTGCTGATAGGTTTGATACTTCTCTTAATCACAAAAATAAATGAGTTAACAGCGGTGGAGGCAATGATGTTACGTTTGTAAAGAAAATAATGAATGAGTATAACTTTTTAAAACATCAGGTAAAATTTCAGTGAGCGTGAACGATTCACCAGACCGTTCTGTCTGGCTTTTCTTCTGGAACAGTTCAGCTGGCTTTCTCTTGTTTCAAAACTAAAACAAAACACGAATAAAGCAAAGTGACAGTAATGATTTAAAAACACAAGTCGCCATCTAAAGGTTATTGTGCTAAATAGGCAGCAGAACAATTTTTCCAGCTCAGAGATACCCGAAGCTATAGGGAGAGACTAGTAGGAGAAACTTTGCTTGCTTTTAGGTTTGCAACTATAAATGGTGAGCTGCCATTTATTATGACATGTGCAGCCTGGTTTTATCCCTGACAGGGAGCTGTTTTATCATCACT